GGTTACTCTTTCTGTGGTATTTACTGCTTGGGGAGTCATCTGCCATCTGAGATCTCATTCTTTAGAGGATATCTCGTATACAATCTGGATCTTCTGGGAGACTTATTTGGAAGCCTGTGGTACAGCTGCTTGGCCTGATAACTGTGCTATATGACCAATCCTTCGGTGGGTCAAATTCTTTGGTAAGAGACTGTGTGATTGGCTGGAAGCTGAAGGACTTTCTCTTTTCTTTGGTCTGCGGTTTCACTAAGCATCAGCACTTCCAGCACAAAATTAGTGTTTTTGGACAAAAGCTGCCGACACCAAACTTTTTAGTGAATGATCAATAATAAATAGTGTAGCGCTAATAATACTAACAAATTACGTGTTAAAATGCACAAACTCTAAATACATCCCCTAATATATATATCCAAGGTGATAAATCAATATATAAATAATAAAATAGTTGTGTCATACGTGAATTCCCTCACGGGGAATATTTAGTGAAAAAAAGTGACAAACACACATATTTGCACATTTGTGAAACATTATGTATACTGGTGCACAAAATTAGTGAAACAAATAATCAATTCAAAAAGTTTGATATAATAATAGTAATACGATAATTTATGGTGATCCTCACACTTCACTCTTCATGCAAGAATATATAAATGCCGTATACGTGGTACACACGTGCCAATCCTTTATCAGCCAAAATAACCCTCACCTCCTTCATTAGACCCCACAGGGTCAACACGCTTTGAGGATCAAGTGATCCTATCAGAATGGGTCCCTCTCAGGCTTTCCCTCACGTCTCAGCCTCCAACAGACTAACAGCCAGCTCCTCACAAGATCATGATAAGACACAAACAGTGTGCAACCGGTTTTTATGCATCAAATTTAAAATGACAATAAGTATTACACTCACATTTGCCCACGAGTTTTCCAGCTTTTTACCACATGCTATGGGTGTACTGCATGGGTATACTCAACAGGGTGATCCAATATGGCCCCACACCGGAAATGACATCACCGGAAGCTCCTCCCCACAACGATGCGTTGCGCCACGCCCACCTCGTGACTTCATCAGGGTTACCCTGATGAAGTCACGAGGTGGGCCTGGCGTGCGTCGGGTGACCCTGATGACGTCACGAGGTGGGCGTGGCGCAACGCGTCGTCGGTAAGTGGGGAGGAGCTTCCGGTGACGTCATTTCCGGCGTGGGGGCAAATAGGAATGTGTTTGTCACTTTTTTCACTAAATATTCCATGTGAGGGAATTCACGTATGACACAACTATTTTATTATTTATGTATTGATTTATCACCTTGGATATATATATGTAGGGGATGTATATAAAGTTTGTGCATTTTAACACGTAATTTGTTAGTACAGTATTATTAGCGCTACACTATTTATTAATTGGGTTTAATTTCTGTTACTGTCATTATATTTGTTTGAAAACGCTACACTGATTATTTTGTTTGTATTATTTTCTGCCTATTGATTGTGTTAGCTGCTTTTTTGGGGCTGACACCTAAACGCAGGTGTAATTTTTTCTTCCTGTGTATATCGGGGGCTGTGCAACTGGTGCTCTTCTGACCACATCTGCTACTTCATCGTGGAGAGCAAGTTAGAACAAAGAGCTTCTAAAGAAATTATAATAGTGCCGCGTTCCATTGACAAAAAAAAGTTTTGATTCCAAAAAACAAAATTTATTGACCAAAACTAATTTTGGGTCCAAATACAATATCACTTTTACAAAATAAAGTGTCCATAGTCCGTGACTTCACACTCTTTCGGGTGATATAACAGAAATGATTTGTGTTCAGTCCACCAATAATGAGTTGTTACAGTCAGGAGCGGATTGACAACTCATGGGGCCCCCGGGCAATAGGGGATCATGAGGCCCCTGTGTCCTTGCCCAAACTCAGAAAAGCCTATGAAAAAGGTACCAGGGGCATCTCATGGGGCCCCCCCTACTGACCCCGGGCCCTCGGGCAGTGCCCGAGTTTCCAAATGGTCAGTTCGCCCCTGGTTACAGTTTGTGGCATTGGTGCAGTAAAGGCTTCTTTCTGGCACCTCCACCATGCAGCTCATTTTTGTTCAAGTGTCATCATATTGTGCTCCTTCAAAACAACCACACTGTCTTTTTCCAGAGCAGCCTGGATTTCTTTTGAGGTTCCCTGTGGGGTTTCCCTTTGTATCCCGAACAATTCTTCTGGCAGTTATGGCTGCAATCTTTCTTGGTCTACCTGACCTTGGCTTGGTATCAAGAGATCCCCGAACTTTCCACTTCTTAATAGGTGATTTAACAGTACTGATTGGCATATGCAAGGCTTTGGACATCTTTTTATGTCCTTTTCCATCTTTATAAAGTTCCATTACCTTGTTACCAGGGGGGCGGACTGACCATTTGGAAACTCTAGCACTGCCCGAGGGCCCGGGGTCAGTAGGGGGCTCCATGAGATGCCCCTGGTACCTTTTTCATAGGCTTTTTTGGGTTTGGGCAAGGACCCTATTGCCCGGGGGTCTCATGAGTTTGTCAGTCCACCCCTGGTGACACCACCAATTCAGGGACTTTTTCCCCTTTCCAGCCCATCAACCCTGGAAAGCTTTTTGCTTTTCAGTAACACCACAGACTCAAGGGCATTTTTTCCTTTCAGTGACACCACCGACACAGAGGCTTTTTTTCTTTTCATTGACTCTACTGACACAGGGACTTTTTTTCCTTTCAATGACACCAGCAACTCAGGGACATGCTTTCATTAAAGTGACACTGCTAACGCAGGGAGATTTTTTCCTTTGCCACTGTAGCCCCATAATTGTGCACCAATTTTAAACAATTTAGTTGGCTGCAGTTTCCCATCTCCCCACTAGCTGACTTTATCCCGCCGCTGTTCACTGATTGTCATCCAGTACGGGATTATAGGAGGTGAAAACCTAAATCCAACAACACTCCTAGCACCGGCACTCTCCTATATTGTAACAATTGTCAGGTTATGAGGGAAATAGATGAATATAATAAAAGATTCCTAGAAAGCAGAGAAATGTGAATTTACGGCCCCAACCGGGGGCGGCAGAACAATTGTAAAATGTGCCGATAGATAAGATCAAATGAATGTAACAATGTGTGTTGTATAATTCTGAACTCACTCCCTAATTATTCAACACTTTGCCCAGCTGAAGGCTGGAGTGAGGCTCACAGATTCACACATCCAGAGCACTGGATGACTTTATCCCGGCGCTGTTTTTTAAATAGCTTGTCATCCAGTACGGTTTTATGGGAATAAATTAAAAAATTAAAAAAATACGTAGGTCAAGATTTGATCTAGGTCAGTGCCAGGGTTAATGTTTAGGTCAAGGTCGGGGTCAGGGTCAAAATTTTTTTTTTTTTTGTTTTCTTTTTTTTACATTCTACAAACAATAAACCATAATGACAATGTGGAAGAAGTTAGTTTTGAAATTCTTGGCAATTTATTTAATGAAAAAAAACCACATGTACATAAGTTGAATACCTTTGCTCAATACTTTATTGAAGCACCTTTAGCACCAATTACAGCCTCAAGTTGTTTTGAGTATGATGCTACAAGCTTGGCACACCTATTTTTGGGCAATTTCTCCCATTCTTCTTTGCAGTACCTCTCAAGCTCCATCAGGTTGGATGGGGAGCGTCAGTGCAGAGCCATTTTCAGATCTCTCCAGAGATGTTCAGTCGGGTTCAAGTCTGGGCTCCACTCCAGGAAATTCACAGAGTTGGCCCATAGCCATTCCTTTGTTATATGGGCTGTGTGCTTAGGGTCGTTGTCCTGTTGAAAGATGAACCGTTGGCACAGTCTAAGGTCCACAGAGCTCTGGAACAGGTTTTCAACAAGGATGTCTCTGTACATTGCTGCATTCATATTTCCTTCAACCCTGGCTAGTCTCTCAGTTCCTGCCTCTGAAAAACATCCCCACAGCATGATGCTGCCACCACCATGCTTCACTGTAGAGATGGTATTGGTCCGGTGTTGAGCGGTGCCTGGTTTTTACATGATGCTTGGCATTCAGGCCAAAGAGTTCAATCTTTGTTTCATCAGACCAGAGAGTTTTGTTTCTCATGGTCTGAGAGTCCCTCAGGTGCCTTTTGGCAAACTCCAGGCGGGCCGCCATTTGCCTTTCACTAAGAAGTGGCTTCCGTCTGGCCACTCTACCATGCAGACCTGATTGGTGGAGTGCTGCAGAGATGCATGTTCTTCTGGAAGGTTCTCGTCTCTCCACAGAGAAATGCTGGAGCTCTTTCAGTGTGACCATTGGGTGCTTGGTTACCTCCTTAACTAAGGCCCTTCTCCCTCGATCACTTATTTTGCCCAGGCAGCCCGCTCTAGGAAGATTCTTGGTGGTTCCAAACTTCTTCCATTTGTGATGATGGAGGTCACTGTACTCATTGGGACCTTCAATGCTGCAGAAATTATTCTGTACCCTTCCCCAGATCGGTGCCTTGATACAATCCTGTCGCAGAGGTCTACGGACAATTCCTTGGACTTCATGGCTTGGTTTGTGCTCTGACATGCACTGTTACCTGTGGGACCTTCTATAGACAGGTTTATGCCTTTCCTAATCATGACCAATCAACTGAATTTCCCACAGGTGGACTCCAAACACGTTGTGGAAATATCGCAAGGATGATCAGGGGGAACAGGATGCACCAGAGCCCAATTGTGAGTGCCATGGCAAAGGCTGGGAATACTTATGTACATGCGGGGGGTTTTCATTTTTTATTTTTAATAAATTGCAAAGATTTCAAAACGAACTTCTTTCATGTTGTCATTATGGGGTGTTGTTTGCAGAATGTTGAGGGGAACAAAAATTGAATTTATTCCATTTTGGAATAAGGCTGTAACATAACAAAATGTTAAGCGCGCTGTGAATACTTTCTGGATGCACTGTATTTGCTTTGGAAGAATAAATCACCTCCAATGTTGGGTGTCCTACATGTGTGGATGTTGCTGCGTTATATAAAACTATTAAAATAGTTTTTTATGTTTAGAATTGGGTGCCTCAAGACTGCCCATAATTTTAGAGGGTGCCTCGGGACTGTCCATAATTTTAGAGGGTGTTTGGGGACTGTCCATAATTTTAGAGGGTGTCTCGGGACTGTCCATAATTTTAGAGGGTACCTCGGGACTGTCCATAATTTTAGAGGGTGCCTCAAGACTGCCCATAATTTTAGAGGGTGCCTCGGGACTGTCCATAATTTTAGAGGGTGTCTTGGGACTGTCCATATTTTTAAAGGGTTTTAAAGGGTGCCTCATGACTGTCCATAATTTTAGAGGGTGTCTCAGGACTGTCCATAATTTTAGAGGGTGTCTCAGGACTGTCCATAATTTTAGAGGGGTGTCTCGGGACTGTCCATAATTTTAGAGGGTGCCTCGGGACTGTCCATAATTTAATAGAGGGTGTCTCGGAACTGTCCATAATTTTAGAGGGTGTCTTGGAACTGTCCATAATTTTAGAGGGTGCCTTCGGACTGTCCATAATTTTTTTAGAGGGTGTCTCGGGACTGTCCATAATTTTAGAGGGGTGTCTCGGGACTGTCCATAATTTTAGGGGGTTTCTCGAGACTGTCCATAATTTTAGAGGGTGCCTCGGGGATTGTCCATAATTTTAGAGGGTGTCTCGGGACTGTCCATAATTTTAGAGGGTGTCTCGGAACTGTCCATAATTTTACAGGGTGCCTCACGACTGTCCATAATTTTACAGGGTGCCTCACGACTGTCCATAATTTTTACAGGGTGCCTCGGGACTGTCCATAATTTTAGAGGGTGTCTTGGAACTGTCCATAATTTTAGAGGGTGCCTCACGACTGTCCATAATTTTAGAGGGTGCTTGACTTAAATACGGTCGAGAAACATGGATTTAGAAGATGTGTTGATGTGGCAGTGTGGCTTATTTTATTGTATTTTTCAGAGTTTTCATTATGCAGTGAGCAAAATATAACTGACCTGGATGTTACAAACTGGTACATATTATCAATGTTCTATATATACACCATTAGTGTTCAGGTTCAGAGTCAGGTTGAATAGGGAGGGGGATATACAACAGTAGACCGCAAAAGCAGCTCTAGCCTCACTCAGACCACATGCACATTAGCGCTTGGGCGCACTTGCAGCACATACTGGTGCTTGAGCTCCCAGGAGGCACAGGTGCAGCATCCAGCCCATCAAAATCTATGACAGGCTGATATATTGTATGCAGTGACTGGACGCTGTACCAGTATGACTTCAGGGACATAGGCCTGGACACAAGAATTATGTTGGTGGCATATAGGGCTGCTGTTAGAAACCGCGGGCCCAAACACAGGGCCGGTGCAAGACTATTTTGCACCCTAGGCAAGACCAGCTACTTGCGCCCCTTTTTTAAAAACAGTAGAAAATATTAACTCAAAACATGAAACTGCTAAATTTCTTTTAATTTGCAAAAATATGGTGCCACCGACACCAATATTAAAGAGGAAATCAGTGTCCCGGACGGACTGTATCTGCGGCTGGCAATGGCACGGTGACAGTTGCAGTGAGTGGAGGATGATGGATCCACACTGACAGATCCCAGGATGGAATTCCCCAGGCAATGGGGGGCGATAAAACGCTCTGACAGCAAGCAGCTGAACTGAGCGATCCACACACACGGACAGATCCGACACAACACACCATCACCAACACTGACACAGATCAGCAGGCACTAGAAGAGCAGGCTGGGGGACCATGGTGATGTCATCACTCACTGACACATTGCACATGTGATCATGTCCAGCCGGGTCACACTCACACAGACATCAGAGTCAGACATTACCTTTCTCCGCAGGCACAGCTCCACCTCTGCTGATAAATGGGAAGAGAAGAGTTGGAACTCCACAGTGATCAGCAGCTGCCAGCCGGCTTGCAGTAAGGGACTGAGTCTGAGAGGAACACTGGAAGGAGCAGCAGCTCAGCTGCTACACTGGCCCCAGACCCCTGGCATCTTCTTCTGTCCTTCTTCCTCTGCCGCCCCTCCTCTTAGCTGAAGGATAATATTCATCATGTGGTGGCGTCCCACACAGAGAGAGAGTGGTGGTGTCCCATACAGAGAGAGAGTGGTGGCGTGTGCTGCACCCAGGCGCCCCTATTTGGCAGTGAAACCCTAGGCAGCTGCCCTAGCTTGCCCCATACAACCAAACTGTATGTAGCATCAGTTGCACATAGCATACATCACTATGTTCAAGTAGTAGTACAGGGACTTCTTGTCTCTGGAACAAAGAGTCAGGCTGAGCACTGCTTGCACCTTGTATTTTTATGAATAGAATGCTTCCTCTGATTGGCTAAGCTGGAGGGGTGGGCAGACATTATCACAGATCTCCACTTGAGCCATCCACAAATTTAAGAAAAGCTTTTGGAGCCCACCCCATCCATAAGCCCACACTAACAGCCCTACAGAGGAGTGAGGCAATCCCCCCCCCCCCCCCAGTGCATTGGCTTGATACGTTTACACTTTCAATCAACCTTTTTTTGAATTGTACATCAAGACTTGCATTCTTCTGGCCACCAGGCACTCCCCCCCAACAAGTGCTTCTTGGTGAATTGACCTCATAGTCATATCACACAAAAGGTAGCAGACCAAGTCCCCAAGTGGGTCCATCACCACTACCCACCATTGGGTTTTACCCACTAGAAGTGATCCCTTCCTCACTCTCCACGGAGCCACCTTACAACTACTAGTGACAGAGCTAATCAGTCCAGTGTGATCTCCAATCCAAACCAGCCCACCTCAGCCAGAAGAAGCCTTCTATTCACCCATAAAAACACAGGGCTTCCTCAGCCTGACTCGATATTGTTCATGTGCCAGGAAGTCCCCATATCACTGGTGGAACACATAGCTCTATGCTGTATGGAGCTGATGCAACATAGTTTGAAAAGCGGATACATTTCTTTGTATTGGAAATAATTTCATTGGGCTAAGTTAGCCCAAACAAACTATTTAAAGCTCCCCTACTTGTCATTCCGCCCCTGGTCCTGCACCTTTTTGGTGCGGATGCGATGCGATTTGAGCCATAGAAAATGTAGACAATAGAAAGAATATAGTCGTCTTCCAAAATTCGAATTTCAAAAAGAATAGAATAAAATAGAAAAGAATTGAAAAGAATAAAACAGAATATAATAGAATAAAATAGAATAAAAAAGAATAGAATATAATAGAAAGAAATAGAATACAATATAAAAAATAGAATAAAAAAAGAAAAAAATATAAAATAAAGGAATAGAACAGAAAAGAAAACAAAAAAAAAAAAAAAAAAATTCTAGAAAAGAATAAACTAGAACAGAAAATAGATTAGAACAGGGGCGGACTGACAACTCATTGGGCCCCCGGACAATAGGGGATCATGGGGCCCCTGTGTCCTTGCCCAAACTAAAAAAAGCCTATGAAAAAGGTACCAGGGGCATCTCATGGGGCCCCCTACTGACCCCAGGCCCTCGGGCAGTGCTCGAGTTTCCAAATGGTCAGTCCGCCCCTGGATTAGAACAGAAAATAATAGAATATTAAAAATTGAATAGATTAGAATAGAATAAAATAGAAAGAATATAGCTGTCTTCCGAAATTTGAATTTCAAAAAGAATAGAAAAGAATAAAATAGAATAGAATCAAAAAGATTAAAACACAATAGAGCAAAACAGAAAATAAAAGAATACAATACAATACAATACAATAGAAAAAAGAATACAATACAATAAAAAGAAACTGAACAGAAAAGATTAGAATGGAAAATAAAGGAATAGAACAGAAAATAATAGCATAAAAAATAAAAAAATAAATTAGAAAAAGAATAAAAATAGGTTTGAAAATAAATGAATAGAATTGAACAGAAAATATTAGAAAAATGAATAGATTAGAAAAAAAATTAAATAAAATAAAAAGAATATAATAACCATCCCCTGACTTTCAAATTGCTAAGAGAATAGAATGGAATAAAAACAGAATAGAAAAAAAAATAAAGCAGAATAAATATAAGACTTAGATAAGAATAATATATATATATATATATATATATATATATATATATATATATATGACTAGGATAAGACTAGGACAGAGAGGAATAGAATAGAATAAAGTAGAAACACTATAGCCGTCTTCCGAAATGTGAATTTTGAAAAGAATAGAATAGAATAAAACAGAATAGAATAGAAAAGAATAAAACAGAATAGAAGACAAAATATAAGACTAGGATAAGAATATACATATATATATATATATATATGACTAGGATAAGACTAGGATAGAAAGGAATTGAATAGAATTAAATAGAAAGACTATAGCCGTATTCCAAAATTCGAAAAGAATAGAATAAAACAGAATAGAATAGAAATGAATAAAACTGAATAGAACAGAAAAATATAAGAATAGGATAGAAAAGAACAGAATAAAAACAGAATAGATTAGAATGGAATAAAATAGAAATAATATAGCCATCTTCTGAAATTCAAATTCAATATTTTTTGATTCGCATACTTCCAATCGATTGGAAAAATTCAAATCTGGTCGAAAAAGGAATAATCAAAACTAAACTAAACCAATAGTACATAACTTGATGAATCGATCCGAAACGAAACAAACGTGTTTGGGCAATCATTCAGTCCATCGGCCAAAAAAAACCCCAATATCTGATGTACTTATAGTGAGACATACACAGTGAAGGAAATGTGTATTTGCTCCCCGGCTGATGTTGAATGTTCGCCCCTCACACATAAATGATCGGTCTAACAATGGAATGTTCGCCCCTCACATCGGTCTAAAATGATCGGTCTAACAATGGAATGTTCGGTGTAACACAGAGAGAATACAACAACAAATTCAGCAGAAATGCGTCTAACAAATGATGACTGATCTGCATGTTCATGAGGGAAAGAAGGATTTGATCCCCTTCACAAAACATGACTTAGTACTTGGTGGCAAATCCCTTGTTGGCAATCACAGAGGTCAGACGTTTCCTGGAGTTGGCCCCCAGGTTCGCACACATCTCAGGAGGGATTTTGGCCCACTCCTCTTGGCAGATCCTCTCCAAGTCATTAAGGTTTGGTGGCTGACGTTTGGCAACTCGAACTTTCAGCTCCCTCCACAGATTTTCAGTTGGAATAAAGTCTGGAGACTGGCTAGGCCACTCCAGGACCTTAATGTGCTTCTTCTTGAGCCGCTCCTTTGTTGCCTTGGCTGTGTGTTTTGGGTCATTGTCAGGCTGGAACACCCATCCACCACCCATTTTCAATGCCCTGGCTGAGGGAAGAAGGTTCTCACCCAAGATTTGATGGTACATTGCCCCGTCCATCGTCCCTTTGATGCGGTGCAGTTGTCCTGTCCCCTTAGCAGAAAAACACCCCCAAAGCA